GTTTGATAAAAATTATAAATAATAAAATTTCATTTTTAATTATATATCACAATGGAACTATAAATACTATTTAATTAGATGATACTCTTTATTATATAAAAAACATCTAAATCATAATAGAGAATATTTTTAAATTTAAAGAGCAAGTTATTTCATGCATTCCAATAATCTCTTTATTTATTTATTTTTCTTTTTTTTATTTTTCAACAATCGCTGATTGTTTTTTCCTCATTTTTCAATTAATATATAACATCGAAAATGTTGAATATAATATTAATAATTTAAGTAGTGGAGTATTAAAATTTTCAATTTTATTTAATGTAATCGTGATGTGATAGTCGAACTCACTATATTTTAAATATTAAAATAATGAGTCTCTTATAGTTTATTTTAAGCATTGACTCTTAAAAATAAATATCATCCCACTTTTAAAATCTATTTTTAAAATGCCCCTATCCATCATCCTTTCTATCTGTTCATAAATAAACAGTTCATAAATTATTCTCAAATGGATGCTAAACATGTTTGTGTAGTCCATTATTTGATATGTTGCTAAGCCTTTGTTTGATCCATTTTTGTCTTTCTTCCTTTTAATTGTACATTCTTTAATAAAATATCATTACGTATAAATTCAATTTTTTTCTTTTATTTTAACCACACGTTTGCCATCAATGTACTATTTTAAAACGCATTTTTGGCCAACAATGAGATTAAAACATGCGCTAAACTTGTAGAGAAGTAAAATAAAAATATAAAAAGTTAAATTGTCAGTTCCCCTGTTTTGTATAGTGATAAAAATTTAGATTTTAATATAAGTTAAAGTTAAAAGTTAATTTTAATCACATATTTGATGAGATTTATAACTTTTCAAATTATAAGTTTAATTAATTTTTATCAAAATTTATTAAAAAATTAATTTTAATTCCATCAAACAGATGCTATACATATAAATATATGGAAAATGCCTCACGTACCGGAGGCATTTTCACATGCGCATGCCTGTCTCTCACACGGGTAGGCCCTACATGTATTTAAAAAAAAACTCACCCCCCTCCTTGCATGTGAGTGCCTGTAAAATTACCCACGCCCTTCCCTGCGAATCCATCCCTGTACTTGTAGCAAAGCCCTAGATATATATCATTACTAAAAAGGACTTTACAGACCTGTGGATGAGTAATTTGCTATTCAGCTTTTCATGTACATTGATATTAACGTGGGACAAAACTGAAATAATAATATTTTAGTAATATGTTGAATATTGGTGCAGCTAATCTTGACCTTCACTATATTTTAGTTGTTTAAAGAAAGAAACTTAAAAGTCACTTTTTTAACTTTAAAGTATCACTCATGAAGAGAAATATCTTCAAAATCACATTTAACTGAAAAATCATATTTTTTTCAAGAAAACACTGTTCCAACAATTAACATTTTAAATAATGGTAGCCCAACAAGATTTAAATATATTTACAGTTGTCAAAGTACAGCATCAACAACAACGTCGATAACTTGACAATCAAAATATTTGTTAGACAGTACTTATTTGAAAATCACATTTTTTTGAAACTCATTTTCCCCTATACAGTACACATTCTCCCAAACTAACGAAAAAAAATCTCAAGCAACTTCCAAATTGATTTGCATCTTTCTTAAATATCCACCTTGATCAATATCCATAGAAGAATTAGTTCAATACATCCCAGTTGTATTATTTCAGTTTTAGCTATTTGTCTTTTTGGTTACAATGCCCATCAATGGTAACTAAAGACTTTAGGAGCATCTTTGAACCCGAAATAATGCATTTTAAAATAGCAATTTGACGGAGAATGTGTGGTTAAAAAATAAGAAAATATTTTGAATTTGTGTGTATATTATTTTATTGAAAAATGTGTGATTGAAAATAAGAGAGATAAAAATGTATTTTGAAAATAATAGGTACCAAACAAGGCTAGATCACTATTTGTTTTAGATAAATATCAGACTTTTAGTAGATTTGGTAAAAATTAATAAAATGTGTGATTGCAAAGTTAGTGGATTCCATAAAGGGAAGATTATATAAATAAGAGGTTTAGTTTTACCAATTTCAAATTTAAGATATTATGTTTCAAATTTCAAATTTCAAAGTTTTTAAAATTTTATTTATAAATTAATTAATTAAACATATATTTTATTAATTAAATATATTAAGTTGATAATTCCATATAATTTGGTCACAAATCACAATTTTTATATATTACAAATTATTTTACGATCACAATTCAAAAAATTTATAGGTCACAATTTGTTTATCAGTCACAAATAAAAAATTTATACGTCACAATTTATGTATCGATCACAAATCTATCAAATTAATAAGTCACGTTTTATTCATTGGTCACAAATAACAAATTTTATATGTCACGAATTTTTTTACAGTCACAAAACATCAAATTATATTTAGCTTACAATTTATCAAATTATTGGTTACAAAGTAATAAATTTTTAGGTCACAAAGTATGTATTTGTAACAATTAATCTATTTCATTGGTCACATATTGTTTATCAATCAACAAAATCATTTGTCACCACCATCACACCGTCGCAATAGCCTGAACTACAGTCACCGGAACCACCAACACCACCTCTCGACAACAAACCGTAGCCAACATCACCACCACCTCCACATACCACCGCACACCGCACCGCCCACAGCACACCACCATCACCCACAATCACAGCACCATCGCCCCCAACATCACTATCACATCACCACCGTAGCCAACATTTGAACATCATAACCACCACCCAAACACCACCAAAAAATCAAATCCAAAATTATCACATCCACCGCCACTACCACACCAACACGACTGTCACCGCCGCAGCCACCATCATCTCACCACCCCCACCCCCACCCCCATCACTAGTACAAAAAATGACAACTACCATCTCCACCACATCACCACCACATCACCACCACCACATCACCAAAAAATCCCCAAATCGTCGCCACCGCCACGATCTCCATAAATCCATCATACTACAACCACAAATCCACCACGCCGCCACAACCTTCTCAAATCCACTATACCACAGCCACTAGGGTGGTACGACAATGCTTACAGCACCGTCGTGTGCTGACACAAAAAATCCCTAAAAGTGCGATACTGCGCCTTTGTGAAGACGACTCCAAGAAGAAGAAGGGGATGAGAAAAACCTTATATCTGAAATTTGAAATTAAATTTTGAAAACTCTTGTTTTGTGTAATCTCCTCATCCATAAAACATGTGATTATAATTAATTATTAACATTAACTTGAATTCTGACCGAATTTTTTAACTAAACCAAACATGGACATATATTAAAAGAAAATTACAAACAAATATCACATTTAATCATAAACAAGACACTTGATAGAATCCTAAGATGATTTATTTACAATAAAATAAGGCACCACTTGCTCATTATATTAAAATTTTCTAGTTGTTGCCTTTTCCAAAGTCCACACAATAAAATTCATCTTTCAATTTTTAATTCCAAGATTGATTCTCTTTCTATCTGTCTTTCTCGTGTCAATTATCATATTACTCAATATAGGATAAATTAGGGATGGATTTCTTTGTATGAATTGTACATAAATACGTAGTACTGTATCATGCGTGTTTTGAGAAGTTCCAATCATTTGAAGAAAATCAATTTTTTAGTTCAAATTGGTGAGTCCACTGAAGCGTTAAATATGTAGTACTACATCATGCGTGTTTTGAGAAGTTCCGATCATTTGAGGAAAAGCAATTTTTTAGTTCAAATTGGCGAGTCCACTGGAGCGTGAATTACTTTTGTTTAGCAAATAAATGATAACAATATCGAATTATCTTTCTTTCGTTACATTAATAAATTATTGTCCGATTTCCAAATTACCCCTAACCAGAAATATCTCTCTAGTGATGCTCGGGGTGTAAAATGGAAAATTTCTCTTCCAACTTCATGACAAAATTGGAAAGCAAAAATTTGGATTCTCAGAGCGTTAGTGCATAGGATTTGTTTTACATAGCATATTGTAATGTACGAAATAATGAAGATACCTTTCATCTCATTGTAAAGTAAGGAATGGTGCGAAAACCGAGAATCAAGTGATTGTGATTTTTGTGCATTTTATAGATTATGTCTCGTACGTATTCTTTAAAAATACAATATTTCAAAACTCATTTTTAATTACGTATTTTTCAATAAAATAATATTTTTCATCTTATCAATAATTTTTTCTTACGTTTTAATCACATATTTCCCATCATATCAATATTTAAAATACATTATTTTCTCAATAGTATTCATCAAACACCCCTTTATTTTGCAATAAACAGAGTCCATAGAAAGAAAAGTACACCAGAACAATCGATCTAAAAAAAAGGAAAAAAAAAAGGAGTACATCGGAACAATTTGAGATTTTTGTATAAGATAAAAAAAATATTCTTTTAAATTTGTGGGTCAAGACTAAGTGTAGCATCCTAACATGTTTTAAATGTGTTTATTAATTAATTTATTTTTTATTATTGCATGCGAGTATTGTAATTAATTAACTAACTTGGGTTACTAATAAATAAATCGCATGCTATTCTCATTTATTGAGAATTTCAGTTCCTGACAAACACAAAATCACAAAGGGCGAATTTTTTTTAAATCATTATATTTGAGTCCCACGGAAATTGTCGGTATGACATGGACTAAGAAATCCAAGTTCGTGGACACGGATTAAACCATGAATTCTCCTGACATAACACACTCAAGATTTTTGCCATTTGTACATAAATTAAGCCATAGAAATTCACCAGAAAACTCACAATGGGGATGAGTATTCTGACCCATTTCTTTTTTTTTTTCTTTTTTGATATCTAGGTATCCTAACTTACAACGGCCTATGTCCTGAACCACCCATCCCCGACCCCTTAGTGATGGGTGAAGGTTAACCCGCGGGATATGCCCAAGTTGACCAAAAAAAAAAAACAAAACAAAAGAGAAAAAGGAAAATGGTTCTTGGGTTTAGTCTTCCAATTTCTGACAGACAGACAAAAGCAAGAATACTCTTTAAACACTGCAAAAACTCTGTCAATCACGTGACTCTCCCCCCAAGTTCATTTGATTTTGTACCTCAATACCTACGCATTCTGTAGTACCATTCTTCTCTCTTTCACACCCACTACAATTCTTAACTGGTAAGAATTTTGGGGTTCTTTCTTCTCTCCAGATCTGCCTCTGCTGGTACAGGTATGCAATTTCGATGATTTTTTCTTGTTTTTAACTTCATTTTCTGTCGTGGGTATTTACTAATTCCCCTTTTACAATTTTTTCCAAATCTTCGTGTAGAGTTGGTCTGGGCTGGATAACATTTGGAATTTTCAATTTGATGGGGGGTTTTTTTTTTTTAATTTAATACATGGGCTTCTCATTTTCCTTTTCCTTTTGCCTAGGCCAATATTATTTTCCCACTTAAAGGTGTAACTTTTGCTTCTTTCGTTAGGAAGTTGAAATGTGTTATTTTCGTTCTTTTTTGTTTTCATTAAAGATTTTTTTTATTCAACGTTTTTCTTGGGTTTCTTCTTGATTTCTAGTTTAGTTTTGTAATAGTGGGTGTGCATTTATGTATTGATGTGTAGTTATGAATTGTGTGCTCTAAATTCCGGATATTTGGGTTAATTAAATGAGTCATTGATAGTTTTGAGTTAAAGCTAAAATCATTATACTAATTTTTCTTGACCTACAGTTGGGAAATTGTAGGAATATGGGTGTTATTTCCCGCAAGATATTCCCAGCATGTGAGAGTATGTGTGTATGCTGCCCTGCACTGAGGTCACGGTCACGTCAGCCCGTCAAGCGTTACAAGAAATTGCTTGCTGAAATTTTTCCCAAATCCCCTGTGAGTATGCACATTTTATGCTTTTTTGTCAAATCTGGATGGTTAGGATGAATCTTACTAAAATATTGGCTTGTTTGGTACAATGTAAAAGGTTAAAATCTTCTTGACTGTGGTTTTCGATATATTGTATACCAAATATGCCATAGGCTTTTTTTCCTTGCATTAGTTTTAGAACACATTGCACACTATATAGTGCTTGTAAAGGATCAACTGTACAATGATATAAATGTTGGATTTCTTATGGTTTTTGTGGTTCTCTTGATTTCGCATAGATTTAAGCTATTCCCGAGATTAATAATATAATGAAAATACTCCCTCCGACCCATAAAGATAGTTATGTTTTCTTTTTCGTCTGTCCGAAATTATTTGAGAGTATAGTCAATGTTAGTTTCCTAATATGCCATTATTTAGTGTCTATTTGACACTCATTAATTTATTTTATGGTTTGCTACATGGTCATTCTCAACCACACATTCATACAATAAAATATTCTACACGTATACCAAAATTTTTTTCCTACTTTTTAATCACATTTGCCTAAAAATCACTATTCAAAACCTTTTTCTACCAAAATGGTTGTCAAACAGGCTCTTAATGTGCTTTGTTATCACAAATATAAACCAATCCATTATTTAATTGCAATTGGAACAATAAATTAAAAATAAAAAAACATTTCATCTTCTATGACATTTATTCATTTGTATTGAATGACTTTGGAATGTTAATTACCTTGATTCTTGCATTACACAATCACTAGTACCAAGATTAGTTTAATTAACTTGAATATTGAATGCATAATTTTTATCTTGAATATTGATTGCATTAAGGCATGGCTATATTTTGAAAAATGATAGGAAAAAATAAATTATTATTTTGACTATATTAACTAAATTTTCTTAATCAGTGTGAAAAAAGAAATAGGACTATCTTTATGGGACAAATGGGGTAGCTATATTTAAGCAGTTTTCTCTTAGTAAATTTTAGAGTTTCTTCTCCTCCCCCCACAGCTCCCTCCCTCCCTCTTAGTCTGATTCTGATTGCATCTTCAAATCTAGCATTTCACCACATTCTAAATTAAATATTAGTTTTGGCATTTGCATTTCCCTATATTCAGTGAGATCCGTGCAGGATCATTTGTTTTCACATGTTTAGAATGTGTGATTTATGAAATCCCATCTCAAGCCTTTAGTCTGCTTGTGCTGTGAGTCACAAATCCAGGAAATTACTAGGGGTCTCTTCCTTTCTTTTTCCTTTTTTCTGGATATGTACAGGATTCACATGTCCAATATTCAGTACCTCGAGCTATTTTCTTTTTCTCTATTACATTTCTTGAAACCGAAGTAGTTTGAACTGCATACTGATGAATGAAAACAATAGTTTTGATGGATTTATTATATCTTTGTTACATTTAATTTTCTTAAAACTGGATCATAAGATGCGCATGATGGGGTGTCTACAATGTGGGAGGATTGTGCACATTTAAATGAGCTTATAAGGGAGGATTGTGCACGTTTAGGTGAGCGTATAAGTAGCTTGTAAGATGACTTTTTGAAAAGTAGGTACCAGAACATGCATTTAAACTTATAACCTTGAGCATAACCTCACTGCGAGATGTATTCGGAACTGCATACTGGTATAGTCAGCTGCTGAGTAGCCAAGTGTTTTAACTTTTCCTTTGACACTATCTTGCAGGATGGTCATCCAAATGAAAGGAAAATTGTGAAGCTATGTGAATATGCTGCCAAAAATCCTTTCCGGATCCCAAAGGTGGTTGCTTTTTGATGCGTAAACATGTACATATGCATATAGTTAGCAATTTGTAATGTACTTCATGAGTGAAATTAATATATTCTACTAATGCTCTGTTGCCATTTTCTGTTCACACTAGATTGCCCAATATCTTGAAGAAAGGTGTTACAAAGAACTGCGAAATGGGCATATCAAAATTATTAGTATCATTGCTGAGGCCTATAACAAATTGCTCTGCATGTGTAAGGAGCAGATGTAAGGAGTTAATTTTGTTCATGTGATCATGCTAATTTTATTAGTTTAACTACTAATCCATTTACATCAATGTATGAAAGGAAAACGTTAGTATAGAAATGCATTAATGTTTTGCTATCATATATTGAATATATCTTCTCTCTGTGGGTGCTAAATATTGTTTCGAGTTTATATTCCAATTATTACGTAGATCTTTTGTTTAAATCTAAGTCAAGTAAGATTTGATTGACTATGATCTATTTCAAATAATACTCTGCCACTTGTCTTTTATGTTTGCAGAGCATATTTTGCTGTTAGTCTGTTCAATGTAGTTAGTGAACTGCTGGGTGACTCAAAGGAAGACAGTGTCTTGATAATTGGATGCCAAACTCTGACCGCATTTATTTACTGTCAGGTAATTTCTAGGCTTAAGGATTTTGAATTGTTTTAACAAGGATAATCAATAAATTTGAGATTTCCTGTGTATCTGGTTTTCTATTGTATATGCTGCAAGGAGTCATCATTGTATGATTAGGAAAATAATATGTTGTTATTTTAAAAACCTATCTTTTGAGGAGCCAGTATTCCCCCTTTCCACCCCCTTTCTATCTTCGTTATTCTTTTGAAGGAATGAAATGAATCCATCTAATTTTTGTTATAATTACAAGAATTAACAATGTTAGTTCCTCTATATATAATCATTGCATTGCCTCTGCTATGTTGTCTTATTTCTGGTTTGATCTATCTATAGGTAGATGGAACATACACGCGCAATATTGAAAATTTAGTTCACAGAGTGTGCATGTTGGCTCGTACTATTGGCGATGAACACCAAAAGCACAGCTTGAAGGCATCAAGCTTGCAGTGCCTTTCAGCTATGGTAATTGCATAATTAAAGAGCTTATTCAGTGCTTTGAATTTCTTACCTTCATGCCTGTTTATCTATCCAAATTTATTTCGGTTTTATTCGTGTCTTTTTTGATGATAAAATTATGATTAACTTGGTTTCTGAAGATTGTCTCTCTTCACCTGTTGCATCATTTTATGCTTCAACTATGGTATTTTTGTAACCTAACTAGCTGGGTTTTTTCATCTTCAGGTGTGGTTCATGACTGAGTTCTCTCATATATTTGTTGATTTTGACGAGGTTGGTCTTTTTTATGGGCTATTTTCTTGCTTTGCTGCTGGCTCTAAAATTTCTGTAATTTCCAGTTTTGAGTATCCAATTCCACATATTTGTTTTCATGAGCAAAAGCTTTTGGTTTGCATCGGGTCTTACATCCTAATGTACTCCAAACTCCTGATGATGATCTTGTTTCTTTCCTTTTTTTTCTTCTTGCATTAAGGCCCTGTTTGGGAGGGATTAGATTTTTCTACAGTAAATCAATTCTCATTTTCAACTACACATTTTTCAATAAAATAATATTTTCCATCACATAAATAATTTTTTCTTCTTTTTCAACCACACATTTCCCATCATATCACTATTCAAAATCAATTCTTCCCCAAAAAATCTCTCCCAAACAAGCTCTAAAGATATTTATGATACATGCTTCTTTGATGCATACAAATTTGTTCTGCTGACCAAGCAATAGAAGTGATACTGTTGCTTAGTTATGTATTTGAACATTCCAGTTGGAAACAGGTGAAACAACTCATTTAGTTCTTCTGCAGTTTGTTTTATCGAAATAATGAATCAATTCACATGCAGAATGTGGTAAGCTGTAGTTCAAGTGACTTATAATAATTTTGTTAATTGGCGAGATTACCAAACAGTGGATATATATGCTTGGAGGACTTTCTTTCTTTACAGATTTCTTGGTCTATCTCCAGATATCAATGACAATTATATAGTCAAACAAATTTCTTGATCAGAATTTTTGTATTCCGATTTCAGATAGTGCATGCTACTCTTGATAACTATGAGAGGGACATACATAACGAAGAAGATGATGAAAGGGGGAAGGCACATCATAACTGGGTGGATGATGTAATAAGATGGGAGGGAAGAGGTACTCCCAGTGTTGGTGGTGAATTTAGCCCTAGCCACATGAATATCAGACCACGGCCTGAAAAGAGAGATCCATCCCTCTTAACAAGGTTGAAGAATTTCAATGTTGATGAAGCCTCTGTTCGGGAATCATTCTTAGCCCCTGTTTGGGCTCTATTAAAATGAGATTTGGATTAAAATGTGTTCTGCAATAGGAGAATGTGTGGTTAAAAAAATAACACAAAGTTTTGGGTTTATGTATAGCATTATTTTATGGGAGAATGTGTGGTTAAAAATGAATTTTGGAAAAATGGAGCCTAAACAGGGGCTTAATAAATTAAAAGTTACTTTTACTACACAGTCAAAGTCAAAGTCAAACTTTAATTTCAACCATACAATCAAAACTATTACTCGTTATCTACACATTTCGTGGTCTCCACCACTATTCCTCCTAAAAAGTTGCTAAAATGTTCCCGAACAGAGGTAAAATAAATTAATGGTATTTTTTAAAGTTAATTTTGCAATCAGCTTCTGAAGTGATAGACGCTTGCTTGTTTCTCTAATATGTTTCTAATTACTGAGTTTCTGTACGTCATATGTTTCAGAGAGGAAGTTGAGGCACCAAAAATATGGGCTGAAATATGCATCCAGAGAATGGTTGAACTGGGGAAGGAGAGCACAACAATGCGTAGAATATTTGATCCAATGTTTGTATACTTTGATGCTGGGCGGCACTGGGTGCCTCAGCAGGGGCTGGCCACTATTGTTCTGTCTGACATGTCCTACTTTATGGAAAACTCAGGTGACTTGCCCCTCCACTTGTTTGGCTAAGCTTAAAAAAATGTAAAAGTTACTTTTAAGCTTAGTTTTGAAGACAATTTTAGAAATTACTTCTTTTACTAGCAAAATGTACTTTTCTAACTTGCTTTCTAGCTAGCGTACTTTTCTAGAAGCAGGTCTTAACTTACTTTCTAGAATAACTTTTCAGCTTAGCCAAGCATGCCCTGAATTGGTCATTACTTTTGTTATGTTCAAAGTTTCCATACACTGGTTTTGTGGAGATTTATTGTCTCCTGGGAATGTGTGAGATCTAGAAACCGAGGTTCTTCTTATAGATAGTAGGTGATAAGTTGAGTGACTTCTAATTAGTGTAGTGGGGTTGGGATATCACATGTTAATATGGATATTTTGAAGTAATTGTATTACAGTATTTTTGGTACTTTACATTTTTCCTGTATGGAGTAGAATTATTGAATACTTTTAATTGCTGGTTTGCTGACTTATTTATTAATATTACAACTGAAGTTGTCAGAAGCATGTTTGAGCTGGGAGTCTTTAATGTTTTCTATTATCTCTATGATGTTATGATGCGATACGTGTTATTTTCTAAAATTTGAATTTTTTGTGCACGTCTTATTTATTGGTTGATTTGGTTCTCGCTAATTGAATCATGGTGTATTCAGGTTCTTGGGACTGCCATCAAGCTTTATTTGAATGTATAATTTAAAATGGTTGCTTAGCTACAAAATTTTGGAGACTGATCTTAGAAGGGTTTATGAATGGTTAATTTCTTTTACTTCAGGAAATCAGCAATTAATTTTAGCTGGTGTTGTTCGACATTTGGACCACAAGAATGTGGCACATGATACCCAGATTAAATCTTATGTCATCCAAACTGCTAGCACTTTGGCGCATCAAATTAGGTTGCAGACTGTGATTTCAGATATTGGATTTGTCAGTGACCTCTGTAGACACTTGCGCAAGAGCCTACAAGCAACAGCCGAGTCGGTTGGAGATCAAGAGCTAAACTTGAATGTTGCATTGCAGGCTTCCATTGAAAACTGCTTGTTGGAAACTGCAAGAGGGGTAATAACATGAAGATTAAGTGCATGTTTGGCTGGGAGTATTTGATAGCACTAGATAATATAAAGGAACATAAAGAAGTTCAAAAACCTTGTTCATTATTATGTCTAGTGCTATCTAGTACGGTTTCCCAAACAAGCACTAAGTAATGTTATGTTCCATTCACACTTAATTTGCTTGATAATGTACGTGTAATTTTCAGATTGTTGATGTTAGGCCGCTGTTCGATATGATGTCTGTAACTCTGGAGAAGCTTCCATCCATTAAAGTTGTTGCCCGGGCAACATTGTTGTCGTTGATAATTCTTTCCAACGTGATTTCTTTAGCTGCTGTATCTTCACATTCAAAGCAGGTGAGAAGCTCTAATATTTATAGCAACTTCTGGGGAGTCTTCTTTCCTTACTGCTTCAATTAACGAGAAAGAAGTACTCTGCTGGCATCTTCTGCAACGTAATTGTGTCTGTTTGAGCTTCCGGAAATTTGTGTTTCATTTTCTTTTTAAATTGCCCGTGTAGTTCTAATTCCAAAACATGTTATTAATGCAAATAGTAATATGACTATATTTTCTTTAATCATATAATTTTTCTTATCCCTTGCTAACTTTCGTAAGTTATTAAGTCCTTGTTTGATCCCCATTATTTTCAAAATACATTTTTCTCTATCTTCTTTTCAACCATACATTCTTCAATAAAATAATATTACATGCAAACCCAAGACTTTTCCTTATTTTTTAACCACATATTCTCCAACAATCATTATTGAAAAATGCATTCTTTGTCAAATAATAGGGCTCAAACAAGGTCTAAATCTTAAACTTAGTTCAAAATCAGTTGATATAAATTTATACAAATTTAAAGTTCATATCAAACTTTACTAGTGGTTAGAGATTTAATGTGGTTTATTTTGCTCATAAAATTATGTGTTACGGTAAAACCAAAAATTCCATATAATTCTTGTTTGAAATTTTTTGTCCTTAATTAGGTGTTCCCAGAGGCACTTCTTGTTCAGATTCTGAAAGTGATGTTGCATCCTGATGTTGAAATACGCATAGGAGGACACCATATATTTTGTATTCTTCTGTTTCCAAGTTTTGCAAATGCAAGAAATGATCCGTTTAACCATCCAAGGAGGTGGCATTCAAAAAATGCATCGACATTTGCCTCGATTACTGCTCTTCTTGAGAAACTTCGTGGAGAGAAGTATCAAAATAAAGTAAATAGGGGTAGTGCACAAGATGATTATAACGAGGACACTGTTGAAGAAGAGTGGAAGCATGGGTGGTCTCACAAGAATTCTCCTAATATTCACACATTGAGCTCCATAGTTGACAGGACCACTGCTCCATCTAGCTTGAATCAAAATGTATAAATTTCAAATTATCTCCATTTTGCGAATATTTTTTGATATTAGCATAATTGGATAAACTTAAAAAATTAATTATAATTTAACGAGTTTAAGAATAGTTAACTTTTATTATTGGTGAAAATTAAGCTAATTACTTAAAGAATAACCTTTTTTTACTTAAAAGTAAAGAAAAGATAGAATTTTGAAACATGTTTGGACAAAAAGTTATTTAAACGAACTTTCACATTTTTAAGCTTTGCCAAACACGATAATTTTAGTACTGGTTATTCTCTTACATTACATGACTCGTGGATTGTTGCAGAAACAATCTTTTTTGAGGTGCAATGAGGACCAAATATTGCAATTGCTGTCTGCTCTGTTGCTACAAGCCAATCTTCCTGATAACCTACCTGCAAATGTTGAAGCTATAGCTCATTCTTTTTGTTTGGTTCTTCTTGCTTCATGCCTCAAGGTAAAAGCTAAAGTATAGACACATTTTTTTAATTGTTCTTTTTCCTGCTGGATTGAATGAGGACACACTGAATGAAATCAGTTACTTCTTCATTTGTTAATGAAATGCTTGCCTGTCAAGTTGTTAATATTCATAGGATTGCAAAGTAAATTCCATTTTATGCCGGTGCAATAAATATTTCAAGAGGATAGTTCTTGATGGGCTGCAATCAAGTGCTTTGACAAGACCAACCCCGCCCTACCCGCTCGCCCCGGAAAAAATTCTTAATATAATTAATGAAATACTCAAGTAGGGAAGAGAGAGACCGTTATTATTAAATATTGTCTGGCAGCAACATGATGGTGCTTGCATATATTTAAGTTCTTTATTGTAATTTTCATTCTCAGCATCTCTCTTCATAAATACAAGAATGTTTGGTTAAGCTTGAAAGTTTACTCATAAGTAAATACGGATATAAAATAAATATTTTTTCTATTATTCAAAGTTGGAAATGCTACTATTTTGATACTAAAGTAAGAGTTATTTTTAAGTAACTTGTTTTTAGTAAGAAAAGGTAAGTTATGCATGCACATTCAACAAAATTTTCTTGAAAGAAACTTTTCCTTCTTTTTAAGCTTAGCCATATGTGTTCTTTGTGTCAAAAGAAAAAATAAAATAAAATATGTAGAATTACTTTGTTTCTCTTCTGCGGGATGGATATTTATGGGTGATATGTCTTGGCATCTCACTTTTAACCGTGTTGCAGAACTCAAACAAAAATCTGGTAGTCCGGTTCTTTCAACTTCCCCTTTCACTCAGAAGGATAGCATTGGACCCCAACAATGGTATGGGAAATTGCTTCATTTACAAACTCTTAGTCATGAAAGAGGTAAAATTTTACAGCTGACTTTCTTTTCACAGGTTCCTTATCTCCAGCTTATCGGAGATTGCTTCATGTATTATCCACTGCGATGTTGATGTTTGCAGCAAAAATATATCATTTTGCCGACTCGAATAATTTGCGCAACTTGTTGTTTCAGTGTGATGTAAGTATTTATTTGTAATTTTTTCATTTTATGGACATTTTAAGCTTGTCTTGTAATTTTCAAAGAAGTCAACTACTGATGTTGTTTGGTTGTCACACCTTTTTACTTTGATTTGTGATTTTTAAATGATAAAGCAAAGAAAAAGTATTTTGTATCAATGTTTATTTACCTAATTTTTCTCATCCGTAACACACCAGAAGTATTTGGTGAATTATAGTGATGAACCAACACTAGACCCATTTTATAAAACATCGCCACTAGTGTATTACTATATGCCTATATGGTGAAATTACTAATATAACACCGATATACTTCATGAATGCATATAGTTATATCACTAAACATATTCTGAAAGATTGCATATAGTATTAGAAGACAATCCTGAATGACTTTCAGTAAATTGCTTTGTATTGACTCACTTAAGCTTTTATGTTTATTGGTTAGTTGATATTCATTTGCGCCATTTTGTTTCCAATTGTGGGTTGAACTTATGCAGTTCATATTTACTATCTTAAATCTGATTGGTTACAAACTTAGGTTGATCCATATTTGGGCATTAAAGATGACTTCCAAGTATTTCTCAAGCCTCAAAGTGATCTGGGCAAATATGGTTCTATTGCTGATAATCAAGTTGCTTCATCGCTACTCACTGAATTGCAGAAGAACACCATCGAATCTGAAAAGTGTGTTCTATACATCATAGTTGAAAGTTTATCTAGCATTACTAAGGTATGTCTGTTTAATAATCTTAGCTTTATTTTCTTCTGTGAGTGCTGTCCTCTTTCTCACATCAATCCTGGGAAAGAAATTACCTACATGTGATAAATATGATTTTTGGAAGCTCGAGGAAGAAGACGTTGCTCAGCAGCTATCAGAAGGATTCATGCCTGATGACACTTTCATGTTTGGCCCGCAATCAATGCTCAACATGGATCATATCCAAAAAGTTGCTCACTCAAAGGGTTCACCCTCATTTGACGGGGTATGCTGGTTTTTCTCTTTGTTTTAGATATTTTACTAGCTATCAGGTTTAAGGTGCTTTTTGTTGTCAAACATCTTTTCTTACTTTTGGAGGATATTTATGACTTCTAAATGCTCCCAAAAGTAGTTCAAATAAAGGTAATTAGTGGTCAAGTGAAGATCAAGTGAGAACAATTAGTGTAGAACGTTTTGGAGCCTAAGTTTACTTATGATGAAAGATGTTGTGGTTGATATGGAATTTGCCTCTTGTTGCAGGAGTTTTCTGCAAATTCTTATGTTGAAGATGACTCCATCAGTATATCTTCGGTTGCTGATATATCTAGCTTTATCCCAAAATTGCCTGCATCCCCATCTCCTTCGATGTCCCGCATTGTCGGCATTGGACAATTACTTGAATCGGTGATGCCCCTTTCCTCTGTGTGCTTATATGCCTGGCTGAAAAGAACCCAGTGGACATATATTCAAGAAATATATAGTAGACCCAAGTGTTCTCTCAGAAGCATTAATTGAAAACGGAATATCTTTCTTAGTTCTTGGAATATGAAATTCCTGCCGTTTCAGCTATTAATCATTTTCTCATATGGAATAATTAATCTAGCGTGTTTACTTGAGAAGCTTGTTTAGCTTTCTTTATAGTGATAATAATTGATGAATCTCTACTTGCATTTGTCATTTGCATACTAAAAGCAATTTTTTCAGGCACTTGAGGTGGCTGGTCAAGTAGCTGGAACATCCATTTCCACTTCGCCACTACCATACAGTGCTATGACCAATCAGTGTGAAAGCCTCGGCATTGACACGAGAAAGAAGCTTTCTAATTGGTTGACCAGTGAAAACCGCTGCACAAAAGCGAGCGATGTTTTTCTTCCATCCTTTCATGCGGATGGTATGTCAGCAATTGGAAAGGTGAGGTTACATGATTTTTTTTCCAGCTATTTAGTCCTGATATTCTTGGTAAAACTCTTGGATAAAAATGAAGAATATGAGCTCAGCCTTTCATAGAGGGTGATCAGTATAAATCTGTGTGCGCTTTTACTCGTTCGTTTCTTTTATTGTTCTAAAATAGGGATTAGGACTTGATTCGTAACATTCCACGGTATTCATTACGTCCTACGCTATATGCACACATCCGTTGTTTTTAATGCACAAACTGTGTTTCATGCAGATGAGCAGTGACGATCAACCTATTCCTAGTGCTGCAGTATCAGCAAGCCCGTGGTTGGCTCTTAGGTTACCTCCGGCCAGCCCTTTTGACAACTTCCTTAGAGCAGCTCGTGGTTAGAGTATTCCTCAGCATCTGCAAAATCTAATCTTGTATGTTTTACTCATTATTTTAGGGCAAGCAGTGATTAGGGAGCTACAGTTGTAGAATTTAGCATTTATGAACAAAAAATGCCCGTTTGTATGAAAACATTTGACAATCAGTTAGCCGTATCCTATGTTTTGTATTGTCTTTGTAATTGTGGTTCTTGATTGCTACACATTATGGTATTCTGCCTTGTGCTATCTCTACTTCTTGCTGTTAAAACCTAACTTTTCCTCAAATATCACCAACGTCGTTAATTGGCATTCGTACTTCTATGTGAATGTCACAATTTAGCACAATCATTTGGCATCGACAAATTCTTGTTGGTCGTATCAAAGAAATAAATTTTGAGATAAGACAACTGCAAAGATCTTTCAGAAAGTGAGCACTATTGATTAGTTTAAGGCAAAAGAAGGTGAGCTAGCAGTCTTGAAGTGCCCTCCAAGGATGAGCCAGACATTAAAGATAGGTATACGTCGGAGTGGACAGAAGAGATCCATGTTCTACAAAGACAGTCGGGCCTAGTTAATACGCTCATTCAGAAGAAGAGAAAGCACACTCGAACACTTGGATCTTTTAGATGCATGTATTCTTTTAGGAGAACAATTGGTACGAGGGCGCAATTTTGAAGCCTATATTACCTTTTGATTGTTAATATTGATTATTCTCAATGTGAGAGCTATGTCGTGTTGTTAATTTATGTTCTATAGATTATTAATTTTCATACAAGCATTATACACAATTTAAGAGTGTCCTACACAGATGTACCGAAAATATACACCGAGTGTTCTAACTGTCACTCATGAAAATTATGTGTGTAACACAAGTAAAGGGACGTGTTGAAAATTAAATTTACATGAAAGAGTTCAAATTTTTGGATAAGCTCTTCGAATTGTAATTTTTTTTTTTGCCCAACTCAAAAATTATTTGATGCGCAAGTCCAAGTCAACGTTTGATTGTGATGATATTTGTCTGTTTCGGCAGTTGAAAGTTGCAAAAAATGACCTCCATCTGATGTTACAAGTAAATGTTTTTCTAAAGCTTGCATCATAGAGAAGAAAAAAAAAATTGGTGCAATTGACTGTAAATTTATTGAAAATATAAAACTTAATTTGTCTGTTGTAGAATTTGATATTTAAACTAGATTATCTAAATGCATAAATTGTTGAAGAGAAGGGAAATCTATTTATTCATATATTTTTTCTCTACCTTCACGTGTATGCCAAATTTATTTACATTCTAACTCTTAGTGACATCCAATGACATTAGGGTCGCTGACTTCGAAGCTCGTGGGGGAGTACGAGTAAGAAAATTGAGATATCTTAGATTGAGAAATGTACGTCATCGGAGACAACCCTCTCACAAGAGGGTGTGGCCCGCAATTTTAAAAATCACGGGGCCCACCCCCTTTGTGAGAGGATTGTGTAGTACATGGAGCTTTAATAAATTATTTAATAGTGAAATTTGAATTTCCAATCCGTTTTCTACTACTAAATTGAACTAAATAATTAAAAGTTTAAAGAAGTCAATTGTCAGCGCTAGTCGCCTTCTCTAGATTTCGCTCAACGATACGTCATTCTTGTTCAAATATAAGTTAAAATCGTACTTGTAATGATTTTCAAGGATCCAATATGACCACCTAAATCTACACTGCCACGATATTTTTCTACGGAAGAGAGCGGTTAAAAGCTTGCCTGGTTTTTTTTTTTGGTGTTGCAAGGGGTGACTTAACACACAGGTTACAATGAGAAATTTTTAAAGGAAACAGTTTGGTTAGTTTGACTTTTTGGAGTCTTTGGTATTTTCCTCAATATCTGATCCAAAAGTGGGAAATCTTATTTCACTATACTACAAGAAAAAAACTAAAAGACAACAGACGAAAAACTATATATAAATCTGATATTATCCGATATAACAGCCTTCTTTACTTGTGACAAAGCAAAAGCAGACCGTTTTAGAACATCAAAAAGAGGTGCTCCATCAAGTTAAGGGACTGTTCTCTTTCTATTTTTAGGTCATTTTCAGTTTTCAAGAACACCGAAAACCACCTTTACTTGCCTATTTTTAGAAACGGATTTCCAAAAATGAGTTTAAAATTTGCTCTCCAGACAAATGCAATCTTGATATTTTGGGAGAAATTAGGTGTACGGTGATTGTAAGTAAATGGTGTTAATTAAACTAGTAGTAGAGTTCGTTCACACATGAACTATTTCTCTTTACTATTGGTTTAACTATACCTAACTTTTATTCGATTAAAAACAATTCAAGACGATTTTTAATTATGACCCTCAAATTATGAATCTATGAAAATAATTATAAAGTACGTAAATAGACAACTTCTAATTTTTGTTTATGTGAATCTGAGCAAGCCTTAATTAACAGCATTAATTCAATCACCAAAAAAATAAAATAATAAATCAAATAAGGATTATGAATTATCTCTACATTCTATCCAAATTTCCATTATAGCTACGTCCTCTAAACAATTAACTCACTCCTCGACTTGTTACCATTCGCAATAAACGAAATAGTAACCAAATTGTTTCAAAGCATAAAGAATAGAAGAAGAAATGATACACAATATTAACGAATATCAAAATATAATAAAGAAAATTAAGTTACACAAATGTATTGGAATACATCACCAGTTTTTAAGGAAAAATGAGAAAAAGAAGAAAATCTTGCACTAAGAATCCGTCTCTTTCATGCCAAGTTCTTGAAACCCTAGCTTTCTGGCTCTCTTATCTATTTCTCGTCATGTCTATTATCCTTTTCTTCTATTATATCATCCTTTATGTATCCTCCCAAGAATTTGATTTTTTTTGGGTACGAAGTTCCTCTCTATGATCTTCTATTATGTGCTATGGAATCCCTGTTAATTTGACCTAAAATAGGTCTATATACATTGCTCGCCTGCCCTGAAATTCACGCCCTCTAAAGGATCGAAATTATATTGTAAACTACGGCCAAACTCACGGCAAACAGCGCTTCGTCTCAACTACTAGTGGACCGCGGTTGGCAAATTTCTTGTTGTGAGCATCTACAACTTCAAAAATATATTGTACAAATTGAACTAACTTTGTTCTCTAGACAGATGAAAACTTGATAATATGGGAGAAATAAGGTTTTTGTCGAGTGAAAAAAATCTGTCAGTGAACATTACACAATAAGTAGTCATTTATTTATTTGGATAATTAGATAAGTCCGACAAATAACTCTCGTACATTTTTCAAAAGCCAATCCAAGAAAATTTAGTTCTCTTCGTGAGTTGATAACGAGATGAAAACGGCAAAGAGCATCCCCCTAGTTTTTAAAATTACCTCTCTCTCTCTCTCTCTCTCTCTCTCTCTCTCTCTCTCTCTCTCTCTCTGAGAAAACTTACTATTCTAGACAAGTTTAAACACAATCAAACATGCTCGTAGAAATATCGGGTGTCAAACATTTGATGCAGAAAAGTAATCTGACCACGAATGAGGAACATGAAGAAGATATACGATAAAGAACTAAATTACTTCAATTTCTGAACATTTAAAACATGGATCAATTAGTAAAGGAACTTGAAAAATGCAAAAGAAGGATGTTATTAATTTCTTGAAAGTAACACAAACCACACCAAAATGGAGACATTCTGCAAGTGTCTACCATGCATAAACTTAACTAAAAACATAAAAATAATTCAGATTATTTGCTGCAAATCGCCCCAATCAGAAACAATGTAAAGAGAGAGAGGACGACTATTCAAGAAAGATGATCTTCCATAGCCAATTCCTCAATCATGTTCATCTGATTGAGGGGATTGAACGCTTGAATCTCAGCACATTTGCATGAAATCATCAAGGATCCGTTAATATACCCGTGATCAATCGAACGTGTAGACAAATCCGGAGACTTGCGAGCAATGACAACAGAATTGATAACCTCGCCTGTCGGATGGAACACTGTCAGAACCTCAAATCCTCGGAGATCACAAGGCTCCACCACCGGATAAAGGAAAGCGCGTGCCCCATGGGCGCTTCTCAGCATCAGCAGTGCCCCCGGCTTCATGTACTTGGCCAAATGCTCAATGACTACAATTTTTTCCTTCTTATCCATTCCTACAAGTGCTGCCAAAAATACTACGTCATAGTCCTTAAATGCATCTGTCACACTCATTACATCCGTAGTGTGGAATAACATTCTTTTCGACAGATCAGGATCGGATTCCACAAGGTGGGACGCCATGGAATTGGCCGATGGATCAATATCGTAGTTGTGGAAAATAGTGGAAGTCATGTGATAAGAAGCCAAGACAATTGAGGTAAGAGGGAGGGGACCTGATCCTAGGAATGCCACGCGGCTCGGGACATCCGAGCAGTGTTGGCTAAGGATGTTATACTCGAGACGACTCAACGTTAGGTAATTCGAGAAATAGGGAAAAATTTCAAGATGGTCAAGTGGGTTGTCAAAAGAACCTAAGATCGTCGAAAAATGTTTCTCCAGCAACCCTTCAGCTTCCCCACAGTGTCTAATGAGATTAGACCTCATTTCTTGAATTTTCTGACATAATTTCGTGACATCAATGGGATATGGTGGAATGCACGTGAGAACAAGTTGTGTAAACAGCATGTCGACATCTTTGGAGGGTTTAAGGCTGTCCAGTTTTGAGATTTTCTCGTACAAATCACTCACTTTCTGCACCAAGGGATCCTTCAGACAAACCATGTCGACAGTATGAAGTTATTAGGTTTGAAAAATTCCCTCTCTCGAAAAAGAGTAAATTGTTGAAAGCACACTCTGTTTCTTTGAATGACGAGCTGTTGCTCTCAACGGGATGCTATTTAATGGCGCTTGTGGGACCCTAAAAGGGTGGCTGAAACTTGCCGCAATATTATTCATTAGGACATTCACTATTTATTGATTAAAACTTGCTTTTTCACCCGTTAACGACTCCCTCATTAACAACCAGTCAGGCATTTTGACATCCTAATTCAAAGCTTTATAATTTTGACTCTCCTCTAAATTTATATTCTTGTCTTAAGTTATGCTTGCACTTTTGTCTACAGCTAGTAGGATTTTTGAAGAGGAAAATATTCGAGAAATATATTTATATACATATTATCTTCAACAATCTTTTCTAGATTTATTTTTTCATCAAATGAAGGTCAAACAAGTAGAATTTTCATGGTTGTGTAACTTGGAGTCGAGAGATTTTATATTCACGCTATCATGTCGAACCATCTCGTATAAAGAATATAAGTTTTCGAGAGAGGAAATTTAGTTTACCAATATTTCAAGTCAACGAAAACCCAATTTATTTTTTAATTTAATTGTTTTAACACCTAAAATCTGCATAAATAGATGATCGATAAAACTTAAATACATAAATACCATTTTGATTGGGTTATTGTCATTGCAAGTGTTTGAAGACTCGTTTCTCAAACTCGAATTACAACCCTAAATTCAAATTCTTATGAGGAACAAAGGGAAAATAATAATAATAATAATAATAATTGTTAATTAATTGTCTGGTGAAGAATTCTTGCTTAGGGTGTAGTTCGTAAAAATGTGAAAAAGAGACAACAATATATGGCATGAAGCATGCATGCAACAAGAATCTAGTATACAGACCAAATATGCAACATCCTTTCACACGAACTTTTCCTAAGATAAGCAGTCAAAATAATTTAATTATAAGTATTCCTGTTTTTAAAATTTTAACACATCAGATTCTCTAAATTTTGTTGCTTTCACATGGTTCGGATTGTAATAAAATTATCACAATTTATTGAGTACCACACGCCACATGCAGGAGCAAATTACTTATGAAGCAAACCACGTCCCTATTTGGCCTCGTTTGTTTGCCATTTTCACAAAAAAAAATGTATTTTTTGGTCAAATCAAACACATCCGCTACATTAACTTTGTAATGATTTCAATGCTATATGTTTCTGCAGTTCCGATTTTGCCCTTCCATATGGGAAAAAGTGAATGCACTCGGTTTGAGTACAGGGTATAATTGGCCACACATTCTGCCGTTTCACTGTTTTTACAGTGATTATTGTACGGTGATGTTAGCCAACACTGCTCCAATGTTCAAATTTTTTATACATTTTGAGAATAAGATCTGTCTCAAACAGGGGCTTGGTTTAGATAAACATCAGATTTTTAGTAGATTTTAATAAAAGTTGATGAAATGTACGGTTAAAAAGTTGTGAATTTCATGAAATATTTGACTAAAATGTATTTGACTTATATTTTAATCTCTTTTTTTTTTTGGAACCAAACATAAGCTATATATATATAGTTTTCTATTGATGTTGATATGATATGGGCATCCTTGGATTCACACTTGTTGGACAATTGAATATGATTATTACTATTTTATCACTATGTTATACTATACATATTATTCGCGTGCAATGTCAAAAAGGTTTACAATTCTTATTTAAAGTAAGATAATGATAATGACAAAAATTAAAAGCATAAATATTCTGAATCAATCAAACGAACGAAATTGAGTTTTGAATTTATTTACAGAACTATCAAAAAAATCGAAAAACCTATTTTCGAAGGACCGAACGACAGAATTTGGTCGAAAAAGAATGGAAAGACTAGTGTATGAAAACTTTTAATTTTCAGAGTGATACAAAATTAAAACTTTAATTGTAAAATATAAGTTATATTTGACTTGTTTGATTTAAATGAATGTGGAGTTGAATTTTACACTATAAAAGGGTGGATATTTCACTGGGAAAATACGATATGGAAAGAATATTTTCAATACATTTCATTTTATACTCATATTATCGATAAGGCTCATTCTTTACCTATCTGTAGTTGTGCCGAATAGAAGGAAAATTGATTGTGAGTTATAAGAGTTTGATCTTGGAGTCGTGTAGTGTTGAAAATACCCTCACAGAGGAGAGAACACAGTTTTATGATAACGTTTTTGACGCGACTCTCTAAAACCTTATTTTCTAAACTGTAATATTTCTTTCTATTATTTTATTTTTGAAATATATTTAGTATATTATTGATAGTTATCGCGTTAATAATGACATTTATACACAAATCACGTATTTTTTCCAACAAATTATCTTCTAATCGACTTTTCTTCGTAGACGTTTATCCCCTTTGTAGACTATTTTAAAAAAACTATGAACACATACCATTTTGTTTGATTTTTATTAATTTAGGTTGTCATATTTCGTGCATTTCACATTCAAATCCATAGAAAAACTATAGTATTGTTTTTGGGTCCAATTACCTCAAACAACCCTTTTTGTTAATTTATTTCATGCCGTGTCGTGACCAAATCTAATTGGAAGATATCAAGAGTCTATACATCTCTCAAAAAATCAACTTTCTAACTCTATTTGAATTGTTTGAATATTTATTTATAATAGAAGTCTAGTCACTTCATTCTTTTAATCTTGATGCGTAAAAAAACGATTTTCTCCATTAAAAACAATACAATAGAAGCCATGAATGGCCACTCAATGAAACGATAGATTGAGTTATTATATAAATGATCAAGAGTTGTAACTTGTAAAATATATGTCTTTTTGTCCAAGTATATATATTACGATTGTTTTCTTCTGCGTTGATAAAAACAAAGATTTTGAATGATATAGTAAAAAAAAAAAAAAAGACCCCCTTATATTCAATGCAATTGCATAAAAAAATTTGATCCAAAAAATAAAAAAAGTTGCATAAAAATTTCTATCTAAATTTTAGTTCTCTAAATCCCTAAAGAGTGCTTGTGTGTTGGAAGCCAATTTTATGTGTAAAGATATCAAGTAAAACAAAGGCATTCTAAAGCAAATTTGTAAGATTCCAAAATACAATGACTTCCAATTATTACCACAAAAGACTGCAAAGTATAAATGTTGTTCATTGTACTAAATTATTTATTTCATAAGGCATCATAAAGTGCACAATAGCACTAGCATGGTGTTGTCATAGTGAGAACACCTTGTAATTACCTTTCACTAGTTGTAAATGAATATGTGCAACTTGATGGTATTAACCTACAAATTAATTTGTGCATACACACTTCTAATAAAAAGCGAGAGCAACGTTATTGACATCGAAGATATTGTTCGAGCAAAAACATTTAAGGATTAACTAGTTATATAAACCATATAAAATATCTTATTTGTTAGTAACTTTTCAATTTTTTTCTTGGGATTTACTTCTAAATTAGAATTTTAGGTTTTCTTCTTCTTTCTCTAGTAAATTTGACAAAATGTATGCATGTAAATTACAAGAACTCGCTATATTTCTATGAGCTAATCAAAATTTGTATCTACTCTACAGAAAAGAACCATCCATTCTTCTCGAATGTATACTCTTATTTCATTTAAATGAACCATATGGTATTCTGACTCTCTCAATTATGTGTTTGAGGGAGTTGAACGTCTCACTCTTGCAAAAAAAAAAATAGATATATAAGATCTTGTCTTCAACGAGTTATGATGTACAAAAAGAAAAAAATGGCTTTTCTAGTTTTTGTTATGTTAAACTTCTCCTATCAACAAAAGGCGCCTTTTATGAACCCTAAAGACCAAATTGTATTATGTTGACATTTTACACCATAAAAGCCACATTCTTAGCAATTTCAAATTCCCAGGACCAACATTGTGCTTTCTGATTCACTTTATTATTCTTTTCCTTTCCCTTTTATTTCAACGGTGGAATATCATACTTTTTGGTAGTGCTCTACTATTGATTAAGCACTTGCCTATTTATGTTCTTATTATATGTGCAAATGTCTGTCTGAGGGAGTGCATGGTCTATCATGATTTCAAAAGGCCACAGGGTTTCTAGTTAATTTCTTGAATGATTTTTTCTTTGGTTTGGATCGTTAATCTTGAGATGAAATGATTTTCTTCATCTCGATTAACAAGAATCTGCATGTGTTCGCTTGGAAATTCTCAAAAACGAAGACTAATCATAGATTGTTCTTTATTACATAATTATGTGATCGAAAAGCTTAATTTTTGTGAGTTTTTTTTACTATATATGTATCTAATTTTGAGATGTATCCACTTTGTGAATAATCGAGTCGAAATTTACTTCTTTTTAAGTTTTTTCCCTCTTTTAAATAATGAATTTGTTATTAAAAAAGAGAAAAAAAAAAAATCCAACCCAACCCAACACTCACGGAATATCCAATTCACGAGGCCAATAATCAAAATCAAAGACGTCTTCTCCATTTTCCCTCATTTCTTCTCTACCACCACCAATTTTTAGATTATAATCAAAGCGATGCATCTCTCAGTTACAATTTGCATCAAAACATCAATTTTGTAATATATTCTCGTTATACTTATTCTAAATCGAGTTTATCTTCAAGAATGTTATGCTTTTAATTTTTTTTTTTTTAATCTATTTTTCAATCATGTCTTTGATATATGTTAGATGGTTTTTGTTTTCTTATGTATTTGTTTATTTAATATTTGATAATCTTCTCTACACTTCTTTTGAATGATATATTTTGTGTATCAAACATTAGATTTTAGTTAAAGATAAAAGATTCACGGTTAAAAATAATCATTTCTTAGTTAGTTGAACTTCCACTCTTTTTCCTTGTTTAGTCTAATGAAATGCCAGAATTTTTCCCATTGAGAAAAGCATTATTTATTTATTTTTTAGTCTATATATCATAAGAATTTGCCCCCGGGAAAATAGCTTTCCTAGAAGACTCTTGTGCGGGAGAT